TAGTATTATTAATAATAATAATAATAATAATAATAAAAATAATGATGATAATAGTAAGGGTAATTCAGCTGTATTAAATATTTGTATGTGAATAAAACCCAGTCTATTTGGAATTATTGATTACTCATAATTAACAGTGGTATTTAATAATAATAATTATAATAATTATTATTATTATTAAGGTAATTAAGTCATACTAAATATTTTAATTTGAATAGAATACTTAAATGTAAATGCAATTATTATTATTATTATTATTATTATTATTATTATTAATAGTAATAATAATGTTTGTGTTATAGAATTATGTTATCATTGTTATGAATTAAATATTGTTATAACTAGTTATTATAAATATAAATACACATACTGGTAAAAGATGTATAGCCTGAATGCACTGTAAGTCGCTTTGGATAAAAGCGATTAAATTATTATTAATGAAATTAAATATTGTTATATAAATATTGCTATAAATAGTTCAAAAGATAATAGTTTATTCAGTCATATTAAATATTTTGCTTAAAAAAACAAGTATATTATTATTATTATTATTATATAGCACACAGGTCATAATGCTTTTATGAATGTTTTTTGTCATTTGTTGATGTTGACAGCCATGCTAGTTTTCTACTCATAACTGTGTCCAGTTTGGTTTGCAAAGAAAAGCGGCATCTGTGATTCTAAAATTATATGCCAGGTTCTCATAAATGGGTTATTACATTTATTTGCTGATCCTGATAAAAGGCAGTCTTCTGTATGAATTGACCATTAAAGACTCTCTGCCACACACACACACACACACACACACACACACACACCTACTGAGGCTAAACATGTATTGGTAATGCGAGCTCCAAATATGCAATCCTTCAAAGTGCACTCAGAAATACACAGTAGTTTCTTCAGTTATGGACACTCTGTGTCTCCGTTGTCGATTTTGAAAGTCTGTTTGAAGAAGGTTTATTGTCCACAGCTGAAGAGTTTCTGATTGTGTGGTTGTTGTCTGTTCTCACAGGACTGGAGCCATTCACGTTGGCGATCGTATTCTGGCCATCAACAGCGTCAGCCTGAAGGGGAAGCCGCTCAGTGAAGCCATACACCTGCTGCAGATGGCAGGAGAAACCGTCACCCTCAAGATCAAGAAACAGACCGACAGTACGACTCACACTATACACTACTGTATGCACTTAATGCTCTTACAATAGCCCTTGTTTTCTTTAGGGGGAAATATATATCATATGTTTTTATATGTTTTATTTATATTTTCATAATATAAGATAATAATATAATATAATATAATATAATGAATTTATATTATATTATATTATATTATATTATATTATATTATATTATTAGTGATAAAGTTTTGCTGTCATCACCAGT